CTTGACTTATATTTCAATAAAATTGACCATATGGTCCTGTTATTACAGTCATTCATATGATCATACCTTCTCATTCTCTTCTCACGAAATTTCTCTTTTCTGAATTATAGATTTCTGAACTTCTCTTCCTGCTATACCCATCCTTATTTTCATTGCTTTATTATAAAATAGCTAACCAACTTGATCATGACCTCCAATCCTTTAAACTCTTCCTAGTTATCTGTTAGTGATCCTTATCAACCACCCACCCTCACTACTGTTAGGAGGTTATTTGCTTTCCTGTGTGTGCTGGACAACTGTAGTGGCAGGGTGGCCACTGAGCAGATTTTCTGTGATCTGAGCAGACCAGAGGGCAGGTAAAGGAGGGTCCTGGAGCCCCCGGTGACTTTCTCAGGCTTTTCTTGAGCTTTTACATGTAGTGCAGCAACCAGGTACACAGCAGGCAGAGGTGCCAGGAGGCCTTCAAGACCCCGGCAAGTCTTCACTCTGAGCTTCTCTCACTCTTCTGTCGTTCTTTCTCCCCTTCTCTCTCCTGCTTCTGCTTCTCTTGGCAAATATCTCAATACTGAGCCATGGCCCACAGAAGTAAACAAAACGGCTTACAACAATATAACAACTGCAGGTACCCAATGGTGAGAGGGCAGAAAAGACTGAAAACCATTTACCCTACAAGTCGGTGGAAAAGCACAGTGTATTGTCCCTGAATCCTTCAGAGTCTAAACTTTGACTTTGTTCTATGTCTGCATTATGAGTGTATATTTCTAAAATGACCTTGTAAAGGCAGGAACAGGGCACTGAGCAGGTTTTCTGATCCAGCAGACCGGGTAAAGGAGGAGTCCTGGAACCCTCAGTGGCTTTTGCAGGTCTTTTATTTAGATTTACCAGGCACATGGCAGGCAGGGGTGCTGGGGGGCCGGGAGACTGGCAGGCCTCCCAGCCCCCAGCAAATCCGCACTCTATCTGGGGTCTCTGGCATTGTCTCTGCTTCTCCTCTTTCTCTCGGCTTCTGCCGGTGTCACTGTGATGCTGCCCTTAAAAGCCCAGGTGAATCCCATCTACATAGACCCACACCCTCCTCCAGGTGCCCGCCATCAGGCATGCATTCGGGACCACAGGGTTCCGTCATCCATCCTAAAGGTGGGAGAGCAGAAAAGCCTGATACTTCTTGCCTTACCCTACAGACCTTAAGACTTGTTTTCTCATACGTTTGTTCTGAGATGTAGAATTCAATGAGAATACCTCTCTTGACTGGCTTGATTAGCACAATCTGTCTTATATAGACTGGATTTATTGTGTTCCTCTCTCATTTTTGATTATGACTTTTTAAAGAACATTTTATTTTATTTACTCATTTGTGGTTGGCATTCCCCCATTTATGTGCATTGTAGATGGAATATAATCAATTTATGAATATAGACAATTAAAGTAAAAACATTAAATACAACTACTGATAAGTTATACATGTTGACATGCGACATACAAACTATTAAAAAATATATCTTCAGAAGCTCATAATAGTTTGAAAAGCCCAAATGAAAATTTAAGTAACTGAGAATGAACCAAATTTTTACTTAAGAGCCAATCTTGATGACCTTGGTCAATTTGTTTACATTCTTGTGAAAGTCACTTTTCTCATATATCAAGAAGAAAATAACAATATTAAAAATGTCATTTTGGTTGAAAACATAATTAAATGAGATAATGCTGTGCACTAACTTTATGAACAGTCAAGTGCCATAAAAATTCAAAGTAATATGAGACAACTTCTTAACATTCTACAGAAACCAACTCTGCAGAGTTTTTTGTTATTACCATTGTTCTAACACCTAAGTATTTTCTGTCATCTTTCCTTGCTGCCGAGTGGAAGACAAAAATAGTAGACACTAAAATTGTTTGTCCAAAATTTTTGAAGATCTGTAGGTAGAATTTTAAGAAAATGTATACAGAAAACAAAATATGACAGGATAATTATATGCTCTCTAATACTGACTTCAAAAATACGTCAGAAAAAAATAAGCTTAGCAAAATAGACCTGTAAGTTCAAAGAGGTGGTTATTTTAATACTATATTTTGAAGAAATTGTATAGAAATAGCTCATTTGTGAGAAAATGTAATCCCTCTTATGTTACAAAGGTTATAGAATCCTTATACAATGTTATAACAAGCAGTTTTATTTCTTGGTGCGCCAAAGAAATTTTTGTTATCTTCCTGATTACTCCAAAACTCATAATGTTAACATATCCATTCTAACTATCCTATATTTTCAAAGTTACTAAAAGCAATTCTGCTTTTGTTTCAGAGGCGAGATAAATACCATACAAAATAATTTTGAAATAAATGACCAAATTTGTTGCTGATATGAGAAAATTGCTTATGGAAAGTTTTATTTTGATATATTTTCATTATATCTGAGTAATAAAACCTGTGATAAAATGATGGGCTGCAGTCTACCATTTCCTACTGTTGGATATTTTGAGAAACTGCTATGGTAAGTTCTCATTTAAAAACTATATTGGGCCTCCCTGGTGGCGCAGCGGTTGGGCGCTGGGTTGCGAAGCTGCCCGCGGCCTCTACAGCGCCGGTTCGATCCCCGGCTGCTCCCCGGCCACTGGAGGAGGATCCCAGATGGCACGCAGACCTCCCCTGCCGCCCACTGTTCCCCTCAACAGTGTACTTCGGTCCTTCTGCCTGCTCTGCTCCCCGCTCTGGCTCTGGTGAATTCTCTCACCCTCCCGCGCTTCTGACTGTACCCAGAGCTTGTATAAACAAACAAACAAATAAATAAATAATACATGCCTCTTTAAAAAAAAAATCTTTAAAAACTATATTAAGGAAATTCAACTAAGGCAAATTTTAATGAACCATACTCTAAATTATATATTTTATCCATACATCTATATTTGATTAACAATTAAGACCTTAATAGCAATTTATATAATTTATATAATTTAAAAAACATAGATATATAATATACTTCTTCTCATATTTTGGTTAAAAAATGAAAATATAATATCCTTAATATATTGGAATAATTCTTAGATCTCTTGTTTACCCTTTAGGGTACTACAAAATAACTATAATACATGCACAAAGAGAAGGTAAGGGATACTTAAGGGATAGTGCAGTAAATCACTTCTGTGGTAACCAATACCAGACTGAGCTTACATAATGTTATGTAACAAATTTAAAAGTGTCAAACTTCCTCAAAATTTCAGTCAGCTCAATTCCCTGTGATATTATCTTTTGTAGTAGAAAAATATACATATTTTAAAATAGAGGTCTAAACACAATATAGGTGAAAGTACTTAAAACAATAAATCAAAAGGCAGGAACACAAATTTCTGCTTTGTCATGATCTGTGAGATCTGGGGAGAAAATAATTCTGGCCTTTTTTTTTCATTTCATACTAAAGAAGTCATATATTCTACCATTGATTACTCCTCTAAAATTTTATCAGTTCTGTGATAATTATAAACTGCAGAAAGTTTTGTTTTGAAGTCATATATGTAGGGGGAAGTTAACAAAAACATAGATCATTTTGACTGCTGTTATGACAGAAGATCAGAAATGACATGAAAGTAAAAGAGGTGATTAGGAAAGCAGAGACTGTGCAAGTTGAGAAGGACATCACTGTCAAATCAAAAGGTCCAGGAGAAAATACTTAGTCTTTTGAAACTCACAAGCCTGACCTCAATAAACAATATGAGCTTCAACAGGTAACTTAATCACTCTGAGCTTTATTTTTTGATTTAAAAGTCAATATGATGATCTCTAATGGACTTATATTGAGGATCACATTATATACCATTGTATCTATGACACACCCTTTATATGGGTTAAAGATGCTGTCTCTAAGCACACACAATTTTTTTTTCTGTGTACCTATGTGTATATATATATTTTTTTTCTTTTTTTTTATATATTTTTTGTATCATTTTTAATTTTTGCACAATGTATGCATTTTCATCTTGGTTATAGTCCCCATATAGTTCCCACACACAATTTTTATACTCTATCACTATTAAAAATGTTAGGTAGGATATGATCTGAAAATGTGGCAAATGTACAATGAAGGTAGCCATTTATTTATGGTTTGTTATGCATCTATTAATTTTTTATTTTGAATATCTAAAATGTTTTTGATACAGAAGATACATAATTAATTTCTTAACTTACCTAAGTTATGGAAGCTTCTTTAGGAAACTTACCCTTTATTTGAGAGTCAAAAGTTGTTATTGTCTCTTGAATTGTTTATTAATCAGTACTTGAGATTAACTATAGAACGACTGAGTAAACTTAAAGAATGAGATAATTGAAGTTGCAAGTAATTTGAGTTACATAATCTTGCTTAGCATGAACAATAATCATTGGGATAATTGTTATTTCATATACTACTTCATTAGTTTTAATTTGACATATAAAAGATATTTGAAGGATGAAAGATGAAAGTGGGTAATTGCATGGAGGTTATGTCAAAATTTAGCTACATGCCCTTTGTTATTCCATCTTCCCAGGCACTGATCACTCTTCAGAGCTGACATTTCTTATGCAATTTATGCACTACTTTGTTCTTAAGATTTATTTATCAAAGACCTTGCATGAAATCACATAAATTTGGTCTCTTTAGAAGTCCATCAGATTGAGGAGGGCAGTTAAAGGGATAAATGTCATGTGGTAAGGTTTGGAAGCATTGTCCCTGAGAATAAATAATTTTTAAATTTATGGTTATAACTATGCTTTCGCTCAAGGTTAGGTTTTCTCTCCCTTTGTTTATATCCAGTTATAATTTATAATATTTATTGATATAAAATGTTGTCCATGAGCATAGTTTGGAGTGATCGTCTGTTTGATCCATTTCCCTTAAAGTATTTCTTTTCCTATTTGCTTAACTAAGGATTTTTTTTTTAGCTTTAAAATATAATACTTTTAAGAGAATGAGGCTCAAGCCAACCCTCATTGTTATCCTTTACTAGATAAATGTACAATAGGGGAACGTATACCTGGAGTCACCATTTTCATTGATTTATTCAATTTTTCACCAAATCCAACTGGCCAATGAAAGATTTCTAGAAAGGAATAAATAAACAAAAATCAAAGTAAAACAAAAGAAACTTACAGGAATGAGAGTCAGCATAATTAGAGGCTTTGTCTATTCTTTTTGATGCTCAGAGTAAAGCTTTATGAGGACAATGGGAAAGGAGTGACTATGGTTTCCAAGAAAATCTCTTGAGTATGACCTATCTTCTGTAAACCCAATGCTTTTTTAGCTATTTTAAAAGTTATAACTTTTCCCTTTCTCAAAACAGCAAAATTTATTATGTAGCACCTACAAACAACCAAATCTTATATAGCTAAACATTTGATGTTCTTACTATTAATTAATGTGTGAACTTGTAAATACTACATGTATTCACCCTTATTGTAAATTTGTAGGGCTTGTGTTCTTACACAGTTTTTTCCCCCAGAGGTGTTGATAGTCAATTAATAGTGTTTTCTTTAAAGTATACTTCTTACTATAAGTAATTACCAAACAGTAATATTTTTATTTTTCTTATTTATATATAGATTCTGTATCTATTAATATATAACACATATAACACGTATATATATATTAACATATATACATATATATATTACATATATTCCTGTGATGGTGGTTAGCTGAAACAAAAGTTTTTCATAATCTTCAAATGGATACTTCTTGCTGTATCTTATATTTCCTTTAGATTATAAGTTATAATGAGAAATCAGAGAAGGTTCTAACTAAAACTCACAAAGGTGTAAATTCCATATTCAAAACTGTCATTGCATTCTCCTTTACACCACTGTTAATTAGGATAATTTCAGTAATAGTGTACTAACTGAATTTACTTGCATATGCATTATACTCTTTCACTGAAATATAAGGAGAAAAACAATCAGGAAAGAAAGAAGAGATCTAGTTTAGGTGTAAACATATTCACTAAAATATGATTATTCACAGTCAGCTATTTCCTTAAAGTAACTGTATGTCCTCATCTTTGAAGAATTAGGCCAGATGGCAATTTCTAGTTCTGTTGGCTTAATAATTTATCAGTATTTCACTTGGATAGTTTTTAATGAATTTGCATTTTCATTTTTTAAAAGATTCACTTATGCATACAAGAGCTGGGGTGTAGGCCAAAGGTGCAGGGAGTTGAGAGGATTCACCAGAGACAGAATGGGGAGCAGAACAGGCAGATTAACTGAAATACACTGTTGAGGGGAGCAACAGGCAAGGCAGAAGAGGTCTGCTGCGCCATGTGGGTAGTTCCCTGGCTGGCAGGGGATCTAACTCGCAGTGCAGTAGCTGCTCCTGATGCAGTGGCTGCAGATTGCTTCATAATGCTGAGACTTAACCTCTTGTACCACCAGGGGAGGCCCCGGATTTACGTTTTTAAAGGATAGATTTGAAGAAGTGATCCCAAAATAAGCTTACTTTTCTTGTTGATTGTTTTGAGCTGAAATAACTCTTTAAATAAAAGAGTTATCTGAAAGCATGGCAAAGATTTGTTTACCAAACATTTACTATTCACAGCTTCCTTCCCTTTAAAGTTCCAGAGCCCCACCCTTCTCCTTAGATAACACATAAGTCTATATTTTCTGAGACAAACCATGGATACTATCTTCTCCATCTTACCTCTTGTACTGCTAATGTCTTCCTCTCTGTTGACTCCTTCCACATATAAGTTCTCTATTTTGGGATAAAGAAAAAAAAAAAAAAAACTCTTGAGCCTCATTTCTCTTGTATTTCAAAAAACCTTTTTGAAAGATGAGTCTAAAATTATCATCACCAGTTTTGTGCCTTTTTAATACACCTTTAACATTTATGGGATTTGACTGTTTAAACTTGTTTCTTAAAGATAAAATTAATGGTCTTAAATTATCACAGTCCAAGGCTTTCTTAAATATACTTCAACCTGTTTCTAAGAGAGTTCTCTTCTAAGTATTCTCCATCCTCTTAGATAACGCTTTCCCCAATCTGTAAAAACTCTTATTTTTCATGGTTCTTTAATTCTCTACTATTACTGTTCTATTTTATTCACTAGTTTATTTTATTCACATTTATGAGGTCTCCCTCCACCCATTAGCTCTGTTTTCTTAATTCCAATTTTGCCCTCTCAGTGATAGATAGACCTATGATTATACAACAATCTGTAAAGCCTCACTGAGGAGAACAAACTGTTCTAAGGCAAGCTGTCTAAGTCAGACTCATCCTTTTTCTTCCCAAAACATACTTCATCATTAGCATTTTTAATTTATCAATTTAAATAACCATGGAACCTCCTTTAAAATCTCCTTTCTTATTTTCTATAAACAAGCAGATATTGTCAGGTAATTAAAGACCATAAAATAGCTGTTACAGGTCCTTTGTTCTATAGGCAGAATATAGGGAAGTCAAATAAAGGATCAGGGGAAAAAATAGTAACAACAAAAAACTGGCAGGCCACTATAGATCAGAGACATCCTGCAGGCGAAGGGGGCGGAAGAGAGATTAGAACAGGGGTGGGAAGAGCACAAGGACTATGGTGATGGTGCACAGGTGAATTGGTGGTGGGAATTCCAGGGGAACTACACCTGAGAGGAGGAAGCAAACATTGTACTAAAATGAACAATGATGTTAAAATACATATAAATAAATAAATTATATTAAAAAATTACAGCAGAGAAGTCAGTCAGTGCACAAATACTATTAGGTGTGCATATGTACTTGCCACTGTGGTAGTTTAGATGTTCATCTCTTTTGCCTGGACTATTAAATAACATCCCACTTAGGACACTTAATATCTCCCTGTTGTCAGCATCTGTACATTTTGAAAAATAGTTCCAGGTTCATTTATTTATTTTTTTTAAAGATTTATTTATTTATTTATGGAAGAACCGGGGTACAGGTAAGATGCGTGGGAGGGTGAGAGGGTTCACCAGAGACAGAGCAGGGAACAGAACAGGCAGACTGACGAAATACACTGCTGAGGGGAGCAGTGGGCGAGACAGGAGAGGTCTGCTGCACCCTGTGGGACACTCGCCAGCCAGCTGGGATCGAACCAGTGCTGCAGAGGCTGTGATGGAACCAGAGCTGCAGAGGCTGTGGATAGCTTCACAGCGCTGTGCTCAACCATCTGCGCCACCATGGGAGGCCCTATTTATTTATATTTTTAAAATATTTATTTATGCATACAAGAGCTGGGGTACACGCTAGACATGCGGGGGGTGGTGGTGGTGAGAGGATTCACCAGAGACAGAGTGGGGATCACAGCAGGTAGATTGACTGAAATACAGTGCTGAGGGGAGCAGCAGGCGAGATAAGAGAGGTCTGCCATGCCATGTGGGTTGCTCCCTGACGGGCAGGGGATCGAACATGTGCTGCAGAGGCTACGGACAGCTTCACAGTGCGGTGCTTAACCTCTTGTGCCACCAGGGAGGCCCAGTTCCAGGTTTATTTTTATAATTCTTAAAACAGTTTGGTTCTACAATTTTCTTACATATACTATGATTCCAAATTACTAAAATGATCAAATCAAACTCCTTAGATCAAACATATCCTTTTTAAATCTGCCTCTTTAAATTTTTGCCACTTCCTTCCTGCCCTTGTGTTTTAGCATAGCCAATTTCCCACATAAGATGTAGGTTTTTCACTGTTAATATGAGTAAGTTAATTACCATACATTGTCGGTTTTAATATCCTACATTTTATTTTCTAATAAATAGTATTTTAGCTAGCTACTAGAATTGGGGAGACATATCTAGTATTAAATGTTGTCATTTTAAAACTCATGTTCTAAGTGTCATAGTCGGGGCACCCCAAAGCAGATCCTGAGGCAAATATTCCTGTGTAAAGAATTTATTAAGGAAGAGCTCCCAGGCAAATAACAGGGAAGGAGTGGAGGAAGCAAGACAAATAAAGAGAAGTCAAGGAAGATGACATGGATATAATTTCAGGAAAAAAACTCACTGAGTATAGCTTCGATCTGATACATCAGGGAAATTCTTGCATTTATGTTATGTCTTGGAGGCTGTCTTAACCAAAGGCCAGTAAGCTTGTCTTTAATACTGCTATTCACACCGGTAATTATCTCAAGACTGCATGCAGAGTGATGGACTATGCCTTCCAGGCAATTCTGGCTCTTTGGACTTTGAGTCCAAGGTCTGTTCTGGAAAGAAATGTAACTATAGACTATTGAAAGAAAAACAAAGCTGGAGGAATTGATACAGATATACCTCATTGGATCTGAATATATCTGGTATAACAGAAGTGCCCTGTTACAATGAGGTTTTGACAGAAAAGTGCCATTTGCATTTATATATTTAGGAATTTAAAAAAGTGATCTCTTCATGGCCAAAAGCCTCATGAGAAATGGGACAAATATTACTAAAATATGAGTCTTCTGAGAACTGTCTTTACAGGCCACCTAAAAGTAGACCTTCTGCTTATCTGATCAGGTGACTTATGTGTGTGTTTAGGAAAAAAGACCTTGCCTATCGAGTCAGCCCACCAATAAGACCCAAATCTCTGTACCTCAAACTCAACGGCGTCTGTTCACTCTGTTGGTCATCAAAAACTTAGCACCCTGATCTGCATCTATAGTCTTGAATTCTCTAGAGAACTTTGTTCCAGAAATCACTCTTTATTTCCCTGGGTCTATGGAGGGTATCAGGCGTCAGTCCTGTTTCTCTTCAGGATTCCTGGTCTTCACATGGAATCCTACTTTTCATAGTATCATGTTTCCTGATTATGAATCATGTTATTTCCAACAAAGTGAGGGTATGAAGTTAATGAAGTTTTCAGTAGTTTATGAATTGGAAATTTACTTAACATAATCTTGTTGCTAGGTAATATTTTCATGTATTCTCTTTGCTTAATGAACAATTAATATACTTATTTTATCTCAAGATAAATTGAGTCTTATTTAGACATGGCTTTGCACAAATATATCTGAACGTCCCTCCCCATTCAAAACAAAACAAAACAACAAAATCACGTAAAAATTCGCAGTTTAAAAATGAAATATCAGGGCCTCCCTGGTGGTGCAGCGGTTGAGCGCTGGGCTGCGAAGCTGCCCGCAGCCTCTGCAGCGCTGGTTCGATCCCCGGCCGCTGGTGAGGGTCCCAGTTGGCGCGCAGACCTCTCCTGTCACCCACTGCTCCCCTCAGCAGTGTACTTCGTCAGTCTGCCTGTTCTGCTCCCTGCTCTGGCGAATTCTCTCACCCTCCCACGCTTATGACTGTACCCAGTGCTTGTATAAATAAACAAACAAATAAATAAATAAATAAATCTTTTAAAAAATGATATATCATTTGTCAGAGTATTCCCTACATACCCTACTTCTTGAAACCTATAATTTTAATATTTCCTATTTGAGTATAATGTTAAATTCTTCATTTCATATTGTCTCTGATCTAGTTTGGCCGTGCTTATGAATTCTACTAGCTATCATCCATATTGGTCCCATTATCAGCTAGAGAATGATATGGAAGAGACTCACAGGATGGCTGAAGGCCCAAGCTTCTGACCTTCTTCAGAGTTTCCTATGTCTGCTGTGAATGTGTATAGAGATCACACTGACACTTTTTACAAGGCAAGGCATTTGTTTATTAACACTCTGTTTAGACTATCTCTGATGGTTCTGTAGCAAGACTGAATTAATTAGATTTTTTTTTGCTATTAGCATAGAAAAATGATACTGGAAATTTGCTGCTGTCTTTTAATTCTGTAAAACTGTTCCCTTTTTATGGAAGATAGAACAAAGATGAGTAAGTTAATTGTCATGAAGCTAAATTTAGTTCATGTTGCTTCTGAAACCTAATAATTTATCATACATGGCATGTTGCTTACATTTGAAAAGTAAAGTCCTCTGTTGTCTGATAGTTGTGAAATATACTTGCTGTTTCCAAAGTGGAATTTTAGTTATAATCATTAATTATTTAAGAAATCACTGGAAACAAAAAGTTATTTGAAAAACATCTTTATGCACATGGTCACCTCACTCTGCAAAGTTATGGAATTTGAAAGAGCAGTTTGGGCTAATTTAAGATAATGTGAATGGAAATAATTGTTCCTTCCATAGACACCTTAAATTCTTTATTTACTTTGAATTAAGAGCATCAATATGTGATTAAATCAAAAATTGAAGTATTGTGTTCCCATTAGATGTTCAAATGCAGGTTTAACAATTGCTTCAAATGAAACAAAAAATAATACATTGTTTAACTCAAACAATAAATTAAAATTATTAGTAACCATTTTACTTTATTAATAAAATTGTATTAGCAGTGACTATATGTAGCATATACTGGGCCAGTCTTCTTAATTTTTTAAAATAAAATATTCAGTGATAGGTGTAAGTCAAGCAGAAATAGTTGGAGTCCTTTGTTAGAACTTTTGTTCTTTGAGAAGCCTTGTTCTTTGTCTTTTAGATTATATATTTTTTTATTTTTTTACAATGTTGCTCATTTTTAAACAATATTTGCTTCCCCCCACCCCCTCAGGTGTAGTTCCCATAGAGTTTCCTTCTCCAATTCACCTGTGCACCATCACCTCAGTCCCCTGTGCTCCTCCCTCCCTCCCTCTGATCCCTCTCCCGCCTCCTCCCCTGCAGTATGTCTCTGATTTATAATTGTCCGTTTTTGCTTTGTTGTGTTTTGTACTGTTTTTACTATTTTTTTTGTACTCTGTGTGTGTTTACTGTTTTTTTT